ACAACGCGTCCAGCAAAGATCTCAACGTTCATTAAATCAACTGGACTTATGTCCATTCCCATGGATGACTTGGCTGCGTCGATAATGGCCTTTGCTCTTGTACTGTCCATGACAACTTCTTCTAACATTTTCATCTTTTCATCCGTTAATTGCTTTCTGTCTTTTATTACTTGTGCAACTCTTGCGTATGTATAATTCTCTGGAACTATTTTTGCAAGTTCTGGATAATGATAACTGTACCATTCTCTAAAATCAAAATGAAAAAGTTATCTTCAAGTATTTTCTATTTTATTTTCAATATATTTAAGGAATATACTATACATACCGCATACGCATGCTAAATGTGTTGATATCTTTATCTAGTTGATCAAGTAAGGCTATACTCTGAATGATCATGTTGTCTACTCGGTTCACATTGAATTTAACTTTTGCTCTTGAGTAACTGTGTCCAAGACCCAATTGTGCAGCTACGGAGTTCTTGAGAGTAAAACCATTCACCAGATTATGAAAGTGGAATCTTATTCCCCTCGTAATTTCAGGAACAACATTGACATGGTCGCACTTGATACCCAAGATTTCAGTGATATTAGCACCAAGTTTGGGATCTGCGACACCAAGAACAACATCTGATTTGGCAAACCCGCCAAAGCTGGAATCTAGGAAGAGCTTCAGGTCATCTGTCATAATTCCTTCGGAAACACTGTTGATATTTTCCAGAGCAGACAACCCTGACTTGAAAGGTAAAAATCCGACGAGGCTTACGACGCTACGGAAACGTGATAGATCTGTTACGGACTCTTCCACCTGAGGTAACAGCATTCCAATCTCTTCAAACTCTTTAACGCGAAAGATGGCATATCCAGCAGCGTGTTCAAATAGAATGAAAAGCTTCGACTGTAAAATAACCAATTCTATAAGTAAAAATATTGCGATTGTCCTTTAATTTTGATATAAATTCTAAGCATTTTTAATCTGCTTTAACCTCTACGTTCTGTAAGCTATGATTATTATCATTACTTCCATTTATGGCTACGTTTACACCGTGCATTTAGGCCGCGGCCTATATAATAGACGTCCTTGTTTATCCTGTATATTAAACAAAGACATCTATCGTATAGGTCGCGGACTAAACGTACGGTATAAACGTAACCATTGTATCATTTTTTAAAATAAATATGCGCCACGTGCAACCTAATTGGAGGTTAACATCGAGATTCGTAAATAAATACGCAATTATCTATAAAACAATTATAACCAAAACGTGCAAATGGAGTTAACATTATGTTTTGAAAAAGATTTATTTCGAATTTCAGTTCTAAAAATCGCATTATTTGCGTATAACACTAAATTGTGCCATTTACGCATAAACACGTTGTTAGTCTCGACGCAGGATGTTTAGTAAAGAAAATTAGAAATTTCAGCTCAAAATAAATTCCTATTACAACGAAATTTGGAAATCACTTGTACTTACCATTTTTAACAATTCTGTACTTTTTACTTCGATTACACTGCGTTGGAAGGATTTAAACAAATTTCGGTAATTATCAAGTTTAACTCTCTTATGTTCGATATTAGGCTCATTCGATGTGTTTTTGCAAGAAACCACTGAATCTGGCAGAAACGAACGTTGCTCTGCCTTAAACTAAATATTAATCGTTAAAGTTAATGGCTACTCAGGTTAAAAAGCTCAGTCGACTGATGAAAGTAGCACGCGCTATGGACACATCCGCCACATCACATAGGGCTGATAGAGCCGGTCTATCATTGGACGAGTTCGAGCCGGCAAAGCGGTAGGTTAATTGCTGGATTCACACTGGCTGCGTTCAGCAGAGAAAGCAGTTTTGCAACTGTTGTAAAATTCTTGAATATGATTGGTTCATACATTTAGATCCAATAAAGAACTAAGGGAAAGACCAATCATATTCAAGAATTCTACAACAGTTGCAAACCTGCTTTTTCTGCTGAACGCAGCCACTGCATCCGATTTTCGTCGTACGACCAATCAGAAAACAGGATTCCGATGAATTTTGCTTCGTATTATCCAGCAATTCACACTGGCTGCGTTCAGCAGACTCAACAGTTTTGCAACCGTTTTATGATTGTCTGCTGA